TTAGCCTAACCTTGATGACCTGCAGATGCCATGACCTACCCAGGAGGGAGTGCAGAACTCTGAGAAGTTTGCTCTGATGAAGCACACGGACACTCCCATTCCAACTTATTTAATAGGTAGACCCCTATGGCCCCATCCTCCCAATATTTCCATAGCTGTTCCATATGTAGAGGCCCAAATTCAAGAAGACAGTATATTTTTCTCTTTCAAAAAGATGACTCTAAAGTTGTTTAAATTAAAACATATAGGAAATATCTATACATACCGTATGTGGGACCAAAGAAGAGCCTGAGACTTAAGAATGACATTTAACATTTAATCATTATTTATTTGCTCAAATCTTTATAATTTTTAATTATTTACAATTCTTGTTAAGGTCAGTATTATAGATAGGAAAACTAAGTAGAGAATTGCCAAATAGGTTAGTTGTGAGAAATAGGATTGAAATGTTGATTATCAGTTAAAGCACTTCTTCCTTTGGTGCACAGCTCTGATTTTTTTTCACATTAATATTTCAAAAAAAATGGGAGTAATAACTCAAATTTTTTAGACTCCCAAAAGAGATATTACCAATATTAAGGACTAAAGTTCAAAATAGTACTTCACCTTAGTCTCTTTCATAGATATTAATCCCATAGATATTAATTACTTTGTTCTTGTGTGATATAGGCAGAGAAATGTGGGATTAATTTTAATAGCGATTACAGCAAATTAAATGTCAGTATTCCACATACAGAAATAAAGCTTAGCCCAGTCGGGTGTGGCTCAGCGTTTGGGCATCGACCCAGGAATCATGAGGTCCCTGCTTCAATTTCCACATGCCGGGTTGTGGGTTCAGTCCCCAGTAGAGAGCATGCAGGAGGTAGCTGGTGGATGATTGTTTCTCATCATTGACATTTCTCTCTCTCCCTCTCCCTTCCTCTCTGAAATCAATAAAAACATTTTTTTTATGTTTGGCTCAGTGGCTAGAGTATCAGCCTGCGAAGCAAAGGGTGCCAGGTTCAATTCCAGGGCACATACCTCAGTTGCAGGCTCCTCACCGGCCTGGGCCCTGGTCAGGGCTCGTGCAGGAGGCAGCCAATTGATGTGTTTCTCTCATATCAATATTTTTCTCTGTCTTTCCCTTTCTCTTCCATTCTCTCTAAAAATCAATGGAAAAATATCCTCGGGTGAGGATTAAACAACAACAACAACAAAAAAAAAACTTTTTAAAGAAATAGCTTACTTAAAAAATTCAATTGAAAAAATATAAAAATGATATTGTTTAAAGTACTAATTCATTATATTCAAAAGGTTATTTATAATTTTTCAAATTGTTTTTGCTCTATATCATTGTGCTTAGCTTAGTAATTATGAAGTTGATAGTACCAATATTATTGATAGTCTAACAGTTAAAAAGCAAGGCTCACGGAGGATATTGTGGTAGAGCTAAGCCTGAATCCAGCTCTTCGGTCACCTACACTAGTGTTTTTTCCACTGCACATATAGGCAGCAGTTCAGTGGTTTAACAAACTGTAGCTCTATCTTGAAATAATTCTGTGGATGCTCTGAGGCTCAGATTGATTCCTAAAGGGCAATTAAGTTTAAGGCTAGACAACTGGTATTAAGGTTCCCATTTGTGCCTGATTCATTTGAGACCAGGTTCTCATTGATACAGACAACTGTCTAGTCTGTAAAGTGAGGATAACCTCTCCCTTCGATTGCCTGAGGACATTGCTTGTGGGCCTTCATAGCAAGGAGAAATTGGAGAGTATGAGACATGTGAAACGCCATGAGCAAGCACCATGACCCAAAGTCACCAGGTAATTCACAGGGGCGGTGCTTATTCCCACTTTGTTCATGTTAGTAGAGGCCAAGACGTTTTACTTAACATCTTGTCTAGTTGCTGAGTTGTTCTTTAAGAAACTTACTATGGCCGTAACCGGTTTGGCTCAGTGGATGGAGCATCGGCCTGCGGACTGGGAGATCCCAGGTTCGATTCCGGTCAGGGGCATGTGCCTTGGTTGTGGGCACATCCCCAGTGGGAGGTGTGCAGGAGGCGGCTGATCAATGTTTCTCTCTCGTCGAAGTTTCTAACTCTCTATCTCTCTCCCTCTCTGTGATAAATCAATAAAATATATATTTTTTTAGAAAAAAGAAAGAAAAGAAACTTACTATGATTTCTCCTTTAATCTTTGTGCTCACAGAATGAATTTACAGCACTATCACTAGTGTGCAGCCAAAATGTGCCCACACGAAGCAAATGTAGGCTGAGGAAATGAACGGGGCAACATTAGCTTGAGGAGCTGTGGTTCTCCAGTCTGTAAACCCTCTCTCCTCAACCTTTGGTTTTTGCTAGTTTTCCCCCAACTTTTTATTTTGAAATTTACAGAAAAGTTGCAGGGTATAGAGGATGCAATGAGCTTGTTTATGTCCTTAACCTAGATTAACAAATGATTAAGATGTTGTCATATTTGCTTTAATTCTGTATGAGGGGTTGAAGGAGGCAGAGGAGTGTTCACTAAACGATTTAAATGTAATCATTACATTTTATCTCAGAATATTTCAACCTACATCTCCTAAGAACAGAAACATTCTCTTGTGTAACCGCTAACACCATTTTATAGCCAAGAAAATTAATAATAATTCCATAATATCTAATGTAGTACATGTCACATTTCCCCCAATTGTCCCCAAAATTAATTTTACTGTGTTTCAGATTTTATTAAGGTTTGTCCATTGCATTTGGTTGTTATGCATCTTCAGTCTCTTTCAATTTCTTGGTCTCTGAATTCTTAATCTCTTTTAATCTGTAATAGTCACCCGTCTATATATATATATATTTTTTTTTTTAAGACGTCTTTTTTGAAGAGCCCAGTCTTTTTGTCCTATAGAATGGTCCCACATTTTGGATTTGTCAGTTTGTTTCCTTAATACTTAGATTCAGATAAAACTTTTTTTTTTGCAAGAATACTACATAGATAATGTCATATAGTATTTATTATATCACTAGAGGCCCGGTGCACAGATTTGTGCACCAGTTGGGTCCCTCAGCCTAGCCTGTGGGATTGAAATCGGCTCTCCAACATCCCCTAAGGGGTCCCGATTGCAAGAGGGTGCAGACCAGGCCGAGGGACCCCATAGGTGTACAAATTTATGCACCAGGCCTCTAGTATGCATATAAGATCTTTGGTTAATCTCTTCCCGCCCTCCCCCCTTCCCCCTTCCCTCTGAGATGCATTATCTCTTCCATGTTCCCATGCCTGTGGTTTCTGCTCCTGCGTTGAGCATCTGCCTGCTGGTGGTCAGTACACATCATAGCTACTGGTTGGATGGTTGAAAGTTGGCCGGTTGCTTAGGATTTTATATATATAGATATATACATGTCAGGAGATAAATAATATCGATGGTTCCATTAAGCAGAAATGCTAAATTGGATCTGTAGCAGAAATGTGGGGTCTCCCTTGGGTAAGTCCAAATTTAATGATGTAGGTTTCTTTAACCATACAACATTGTTTTAATTTTTTAAAAGCATGTATTATTAATGACAATAAATATTATTGATTTAGTCATAATGGTGGGCATAGACTATTAATAAGTAGTATTCACCTTGTCTGCTCTTTTTTCTTTGAATAAATACCCTAAAGACTCCAACCTCCCACCTTCCTCTTTATGACTATGTAGGAAATTTTTACGAATTAATTGCTGGTAAGGACCCCAGAGGTAGAAGTAGATAAGAATAAACATTTATAAAGGGAGAATAACAGTAATACGAATATTTATTGAGCCATTGCTATGTACCATGGCACTGGGCTAAGCACTTTCTGTGGATTGTCTACACAGTAACCCAATTAGGTAAGCAGCATTGTTTCCCCATTTTACAGATTAGGAAGCTCAGGCACAGAAAGATTGAGGATCTTGCCCCAGGACCCACAGCAAGTAAGTGATGGAGCTAGGGTTCAAACCCAGGGCCGACTAAATCTAGAGCCCATTACTGTGCTATGCTGCCTCCATTATTGTGCACCAGGTATTATATCAGACACTGTCTTATACATTTTCTTGTATAATTCTCACATCAAACTGTAAGAAACAGTCTCAAGTAAATGAAGTTACTTACCCAAAGGCATATGATATCCGAACCGTTTATTCTATTTTGTGGTTCTCTCCCATATTTCAGCCAAGATCTTTAACAACAGAGTGGTTTGTGCAGCGGGGTCCCTTTTTCCACTCCCCAGCACCCACATAAGCAGGAATCATGTGTTGGAAATGAAACCAGGTGACAGAAGCAACTGCACAAGCAAGAGAAGCCTGATCGGGTCCACATTAACCAGATGACAGGAGAGCCTTCAGTTACAATTCGGGGACCATCAGTGAGACCTGGGATGACACTGAACCTGAAATAAAGGTGGTTGAAATAAGACTGGTCTTCCAGGGGAACGTTTCCTTATCGTCTGCCCTCTCACCAGAGAGGACGTGGCAATCTTGTTATTTGAGTAACTTCAAACTGATGGTCAAAGCCATGAAGAAATTTTTGAAGGAAAGTGTGATTGCTTATAGTTTCTGATGCCCACTATTAATCTCCTTTGTAGAATTTTTTAACATCATCACTGAATCTATATATAATTATAGTATAATAAATTTGAGGAATAGAATTAAAGAGAGTAATATGACCTATTGCATAGGATTTTTGTAGGGATTAAATTTACACACACACACACACACACACACACACACACACACACACAAAATCTAGTAGAGTCCTTGACACAGAGTAGGCATTCAGTATGGAAGTTATCATCATTATATGTTTACATCATTGAATTTTGTGTCCTCACATGATAAGATCTGGGAACCTTTCCTAACTTAGGGCAGTTGGCCCTCAACCTAGGAAAACAAACATTCCAGACACTGCCTGACTAGTACCTAAGCAAGAGACCAGATCTCCCTTAGTGACCCTCTCTGGCACTGGCAGGAGGCTCCTATTGTCATGGTGTCTGTCACACTCTGTCTTTCTGTTTCAGGTGGTTAGCTCAACCAATGGAGAGCTGAATGTCGATGACCCCACAGGAGCCCACTCCAATGCACCAATCACAGCTCACGCTGAGGTGGAAGTAGTGGAGGAAGCTAAGTATGTTCATCTTTCAAGGGGGCTCTTGAGTCATAGATTGAAAAATCTTTTAGCTGTCTCTTCCTCTCTGTGTGCTGCTCATCTCAGACTGAATTCCTCATGCTTGTGTCCATAGCTTTTTTCTTTTGACCATTTTATTTTTGCATGATATTGTAAGGCTGCTGCTGCTGCCCTTCTTTAGTTGTGATTTCCAGAAGACAGTCATATTTCTCTAGTCCACATGAGGCAAAAGACATAGTGAACTAAAAGAATCATGATAGAAGACCTATAATAGATAGTAGTCATGAGCCTCTTGGTGCCCTGGATCTTCTTACTCCCTATAGGACACAGAAAAATCTGCTTATCTCAACCATGGGCTGTGCTGAACAGCATAAAACTTCTGGTTCTTGGCTAACCACTCTGCATATATAGTCCTGGAGCAAGAGTTTCAGGGCCATTTTGTTCTCACTTAAATGATTCTGGATTCAGAGAGACTCAGATAAATCAGGCAAGGAAAATAGTCTCTGTACCTATGAGGGAAGGATCTTGAGAAGGAAAGGAAATCACACTAATCCCAAAAGGGTGAGGAGATTCCCCCACCTCCTTTTCTGATGCTCTTGCATGTGAATGTCTCGCCCTGTCCATACCACCAGCCCTTGGTGCTCTCTGCATGGTCTGTGTTTAAACTCTTAGAATATGGGGTAGAAGATGAAATAACTGCTGATTCTACTACAAAAGCAGCATTTCTATCACTTCTTTCCCTTCTTGCCCCATCCCAAATTCAAATCCAGGTTTAACTTTCAAGAAGACACGAGGTAGGAAGAGAGAAGTCCTTTACAAATCAGTTACTGCTGCCAAGCCTGATTTGGATGATTTTTCTTGTAAACCCTTTGAGAACATTCAGGCTACCCCAGTGTCCTGTTCAGTTATAGTGATATTGCATCCTAAGTGGTCTCTAGAGCCTCCAAGACCTGCATTCTTCTTCCTTCCAGATACACTTTACGTGGTTGTCCCTCCTGCCCAATCCTTTACTGCCCCATCTACAGGCTTGGCTCACTTTGCTTCCAGGAGATCCTTTTCTTAAAGCAGGTCCTGAGGATTCCTACCCAGTAGATAAAAAGCAAGTGAGGATGACTTAAACTGTCTCCTGTCGAGTCCCTGCTGACTGTGGGCAGCTTCTGGTGCTCCTCTCTTGGTTTATAGAAGGCCCTGCTACATACATAGGAGGGCAGGGGAGTTTCTAATGCCAGGAAGAGACTATTTTAGTAAGGAAACATGCTCCCATTTTCAGGGACTTTGGAGATGCTAATGGTATTCCCAATTTTTCAGTTTCCGTGACAGAACTTTCTTCTGCTAAGTAGACAGTGTGTTTATTCCTTCCCTATGGGTTTTCAACCTTGGATGTACTTTGGACAAATGTCTGAATCCTGGCCCTAGAGATTCTGATTTAATTTATCTGGAATATGGCCCAAGTATTAGGAATTTGTAAAGTTGAGGTGATTTGAATGTTTAGTCAGGGTTAGGAACCACTGCACTAGGTGTGGTCTGATCCAAACATTGTCTGGGCTTGAAAGATGGCTGTACCCATTCCCACCCCCACCTCACTTCCAACTCACTGCTGTAGCTACTGTTTTGAAGACTAGAAATTTAGCTCTGCTTTTAATAACATATTTTGAATATCAAGATAGAATGGGCTTTAATCTTATCATGTACCCTATACAGGTTTATCTTTTGAACCCATTCATCTCATCTCATTTCAGTAAATGTATACACTAATTGTGTATGTGAGTGTGGTGTTTGTGTCCTGTATGTAAGATAGGGGGTCATTCACAAAGAGATTCCAATTTCGTGTATTCTGTTCCGGTATAATCTAAACTCTAGGATGTAAAGAGAGTTTAATGTCTCCCCATTTAGCAAAAAGGAACCATTGTGTCTCTTTGCTACCAGTTTCAGGTTTGGGCCTTAAAGATGGGGGAATCAGAGGGGAGCAATTGTACTTAACCAAATGTCATCCAAAAGCTTATAGTTTAGGGCATTTTGTGTGCTGATTCCCCTAGTGCAGTGGTCAGCAAACTGTGGCTCGGCAAACCGCAGCTCGCGAGCCACATGTGGCTCTTTGGCCCCTTGAGTGTGGCTCTTCCACAAAATACCGGCTCTTCCACAAAATACCGGCTCTTCCACAAAATACCAACTTCTGCGCATGGGCCACAAGGTTTCAATCGCACTGTATGTGCGTGCCCGCACGTGGTATTTTGTGGAAGAGCCACACTCAAGGGGCCAAAGAGCCACATGTGGCTCGCAAGCCGTGGTTTGCCGACCACGGCCCTAGTGATTTCATGAGCTATCAATCCATCTTGCCTAGTGAACTTTCAGGGCACAGCCATGTTTTTCTTCTTGGTCTTCTATTTGTGTGAAGGGGGCGGCCAGGCCAGCAAGCCATGTGTCCACCTAATTGATCATTTTCACAGGCAGAGGTCACAGCTAGAGAAGCACAAGGTGTCCCAGACAGCCCCTCAATATAAGCAGCTGTGATGCCATTTGTCCCTGCAGCCTAGTTGTAAAAAAAAAAGGACATTGCCCAAATTGAGATTTAACTAGGGTACTGGGGAGACTATGTGAAACCCTCACTTCCAAGCTTTTAGTTTGGGGTTCCTTGCCCAGCTTGTTTTGTGTAAAGGAGGAGAGAACTTAGAGGGTCTTAATTTTTGTTCCATGTACAAATGAACATCTAACGTCCCTTTTTGCTAGCTACAGGACACATGCCCTAGTTTAAGTATGATAAGAAGGGTAGTAAGGCAAGGCAGCTTTTTGGTTGACTTTTGTTACAGTAAGAATGCTGGGATTTTTGGTTATCCACTGACTTCTGCTGTAAATTAGCAAATATGGGCCTCATTTCCCCTGAAAATTAATAAGAATGAGATTTAGGCCCTTCTCTGCAGTTATACCTTCATCCAGAGCAGTGATCCACCTCACTCTGAGTCCTCTCCTGATAAAATAAAGTGTCTCTTAAGCCTGTCTCCCCTTGAAAAGAAGAGCTAACTGCTGACTGCTTTGGTCAGGCATGTTAGAGTTGTAAAAGCCTCAGAATAGTTGGGAGGTTAGCTTAACAAATTGCACACTAACACTTCATGTGGGAACCATTTGGCTTGGCTTTGGTGCTCGATTGAATTCTTACAAACAGGATCATTTGCTCCATTACCTTCCTGGAACATGCCCAGGAAAGCCCACTCTGGGGCACCCATCAACTCTCTTTCTGTTTTGTTTTACCCCTCACTGAGATCCAGCTGCCATCATGATGCTTCTATCAGGCACCTGCCCCCTCCACTCTAGTGTGGGGACCAAGTGGCCTGGGCCTACCTTGACAGAGGAAGCAACTAAACACAGACACAACATACTGCATGTTTGCATGGCTCACAGGGAGTAGCTTCTATCTCACGTCTGTGGACTAATATCTCTTTCTCTCTCTTCCTTTCTGTGTTTTTCTCTTTACACACTCTGTAGCTGCCTGAAAATGCTCAACCTGTGGTGAGTCCCTCTCTCCAGTCCACATGCTAGGGGAGTGGACCAGACTGGGCTGGATTGGCAAAGCCAAACAAAATGCCTTAAGAACACTGAATGGCTTCCATTTGCCACCTTTGCCATAACCACCCAGGCTGGGGAACTAGATCCGCAAGGTGGGGACGGGGCAGGCCTGTATCTAGGAATTAATCTATTCCTTCTTTCCTTTCAAACCCATCTAATTGCTGCCTCCTCCTGTCAAAACAATATCTATCCCACAGTATTCAAAATTACTTTTTAATTGAATGAATTTTTTCTCAAATTAATACACCCAGATGTTATCATTCAGAGAGGGACAGAGGTAGGAGGACAAAGTTACTGTGTCAGTTGTTTAATATTATTCTTCACAACTCCAAGGACAGTTGTTGCTGGATAATCTCACATTCTGCAGCATGGTCTCTACCTGGAAATGAACTGCTTTGGAAAAATCTGTGACTTCTCTTTTTCATTTAGCTGGTTCTTCCCTTGTAGAATATGTCTCTCAAAAAAAGAGAGCTCCATGGGACGAGAAGGATATTTTGTCATTGTTATTTTGGTTTATTTTGTTTGTGTGTTTTTCGTTTATTGTCCTTTTTTCCTTTTTTGTTGTCCTCTCTTCCTATAAGAGAGTATAGTGGGCCAGGGGCTGATTTGGCTAATGAGATATTGGAGCCTCTCTTTTCCAGGTTTCTCAAATGCATTCTTAGGAACAACATGAGGTGTATAGGAAGGGAACCCCTAAAGAATCCATCCACGTTTGGTGAGGCGCATTCTTGCTATAAGACAGAGCCCCCTCCCCAGCTATCTTCCTTGACACTGCCTGTCACCCTCCAGGTCTTCCTGAACTAGGTGGTTTCTTGCAGTCTGGAATTGTACTCTCCCACATTGTCTGCATGCATGGGACCATATTCTGTGTGGTGATAATGGCCTGCTGGCCTCTATGACGACCTTGTTTCTATTTGTCTTCTGTGACTGAATTGAACATTGTTTTCTGAACCCTAAACCAAGTGGCCTACAGGGTTTCTCAGGGACAGGGATGTATTAAAGGTAACAACTGGATTTTATGAAGATAGAATTCGTAGTCTTATAGCATCGAGGAGTACATTGGGCCTGTTTATTTAGCAAACATAAGTCTGTGTGATATGACTGCTATGGTCTGTTTTTCTCTGTGAGATATCAGTCATGTGATTCTGACTGCAAATATAAGGCCTACTGTATGCTCATCCAACTCAGTGCTTGGAACTCTAGGAGGTCCCAAGGCCTTCCCCAAAGAGCTTAGGTACTATCTCGCTAGAGAGATAAGACATACATACTTGAAAGGACAACTGGTTCTCCGGGGTACTTATGTCATTGTCCCTTGAGAGGTCACTCTGGACAGGATGGTCAAGGAAGACCTCATGGACACTGCGGGACCTGAGCCAGCTATTAGAGCAAGGCAAGAGTGTACAAGTACAGCAAGGACAAGCACGAGAAGCAGAGCAAAGGAATAGGTGGAGGGAGAAAGCAGGACATAGTAAGAGAACATACCTTTTACACAAGCCATGCCACAGCTCTCATCACCCCCTTCTGGACCAGTCACTACCTGAGCAAGAGGTGTTACCCATTCCAAAGGCAGGAGTAAGGAGGGAATACCCAGGTCAGGGATGTGTCAGGGCTATGGCTGTTGCTCAGGAGGCAGCCTTTTCTATGAGCACTTGGAGGGCTCATCGAAAAGGCAAAATAAGTGGCTCAGAGGCCTAAGGGAAGAGCACTTGGTGGCTTGTGAATATGGAAAATGGATCGACTTTCACTCCAGCATGTTTCACTCTAGCATGTTAAGATCTTCTGATTATCCAATCAAAGAAGCAACTGGAAGCAAACCCAAGACCCAAGAAGGGTTCGTTCCTTGCCTTCATTCTATTCTGATAGTAAGACATCTGTATGGTGTCCATTTGGGTTTGGTCTGGATTTGACCAAGTTTAATGGGCCCTGTGCCAGTAGTTACCACAGAAACCAAAGAGTTGAGCAGATTGTAGGGTCTGTTTCCTTGTGGGTAGAATTATTAAAAACTTCTGCTACTGCTTAAGCTCTAACTACAGTAACCAGCAAAAGTTATTCTGGGGTTCTAAACCATAGCTCACACTCTCCTCCAATCAGGTGAACAGCATTGCACATCAGGTTATGATATGCTTATAAACAGGCAGTTTTTATGCCTTGCCTTGGAGGAGGTAAAAGAAAAGTCACATCACTTGAAATGTACTAAAACAGTAGTTCAAACTTTTCTTATGATGGCTTTTGCTTAAAAACACAAAATCATCACCTTAATATCCTCTAAAAGGAGTAAGAATAGAGATTGGCTTAAATGTTAGTGGTCTCTCTGAAAGTCGTGGTTAATAGGGAACAGGTAAATATATTTAAATATTGGTGTTCCCATGAGATTTAATTTGCCTTGTTTAATATTAATCTCAGGACATTCAATTTGAAAAATGTCTTTTTTCTAAAGCATATGTGTACAGAAAAAGATCATTTTCTTGAATCCTTCCTCAGGGATGTCATTGAGGACTGTTTTTGTTTTTGTTTGTTTTTTAAAATATATTTTATTGATTTCTACAGAGAGGAAGGGAGAGGGATAGAGAGTTAGAAACATCGATGAGAGAGAAACATCAATCAGCTGCTTCCTGCACACCCCCTACTGGGGATGTGCCCGCAACCAAGGTACATGCCCTTGACTGGAATCGAACCTGGGACCCTTCAGTCCGCAGGCTGACGCTCTATCCACTGAGCCAAACCTGTTAGGGCAAGGACTGTTTTAAACAATCAAAAGTGTTGCTCATTTTTATTTAAAAGAATGTATTCAGTCTCCAAATACACATGACACTTTGTTTAGTAACTGTATTCATACCTGTTAATAGTACTTTACAAATGACATTAATACTCTTAAAAAATCTTAAGACCCTCTTGAGGTGCTCTTATTTCCAAAATCCATGTTTGATTCATTCAAATATAAAACCCATTATTGTCTGTATAAATGTCTATTTTAACATTCTAAGAAATGTTGGACTTTTTAATAACTAGTCCAATGGGTATAGGAAATTACAAAGGGGTCTGGCTGAAAAGGAGAGAATCTTAGCTAAAGTGGTGAACTGGGGGTTTAGGAAGTAAGCAACAGTTCTTTATTTTTATATGAATACTAGAGGCCCGGTGCATGAAAATTCATGCACTGGAGGGGGGGGTCCCTCAGCCTGGCCTGCCCCCTCTCACAGTCCCAGAACCCTCAGGGGCAGGACGTGACCTGGTGATCAGGGGAAGGCAATGCCCCATCACACCTCTGCTGCTGCCACTGCCAGCAGTGCAAGCCTTGGCCGGCCCTGGTTACCTGCCCCTCGGGCTGGCCCTAGGTGGCTGGGGGGCTGAGGGGACTGCGTGTCGCCATCTTGTGGCTGTGTGTGCTGCCATCTTTGTGATGGCATGGAGGTCAATTAGCATATTCCCTCTTTATTAGATAGAATTCCTGGCATTAAGCCTGGAAGGATAGGCAAGCAACTCAAAGACAGTTTTCTCAGAAAAGCTTTTCTTTCGGGGGTCCAGCAAATCTGAATTATACTTCCAAAGTTACTCTCCACCATCAGCAGGCATCTTTGACTCATTCACCACCTTCTCATTTCCCATGTGTCAGCATCCTAGAAAGGACCTATTTTGCACCAGCCATGCCACAGCCCTCATCACTCCCTTCTGGATTAGTCACTATCTGAACAAGAGGTGCTTCCTATTCCAAAGGCAGGAGTAAGGAAAGGATACTCACGCTTAGAGATGTGCCAGGGCTACGGCTGTTGCCCAGGAGGCAGCACTTGGAGGGCTCGTGAAGGAGCAGGCCCAGCCACCACCTAAACAGGGTCGGTCCTGTAACCCACTCTGGCACAGCAGCAGCATTGTCTGGAAGCTAAGTTGAAGACCTCCCACCAGATGCCCCCTGATGATCAGCTCCTGGTCTGTGGCATTGATCTTCTCCGAATGAAGAGTGCGCTATGCTAATTCCAGTCAGGATATCTGGGCTCCCAGTTATTATTAGAATCAGGGCTTCTCCTGCCTACTCCAAGTAGCTGGGTGGGAGCCGGGATGGGAATAGAGAATCCTTATTCCTTCATTGGTAACATTGCAAGATCCTCCTAGAGTTCCAAACATCATACTTTCATGGGGTTTGTTTTTTGTTTGCCTTAGTTTAGCCTCCATACCTACTGACCACTGTAGTTGCATTAAATAATTTTGTGCTCTATATCAAGGGGCAGACAGTGCAGCCTATTTTTATGCAGCCCTGAGACCCCCAGCCTTGGTTTTCCAGAAAGATGAGGCATCTGGGTTGGGTGTCCTTTTTCCAAAAATGCTTGTTTTGGCCATGCCTAGCCTGTGGCGTTTTGGTAGCTGCAGATTGAAGTAAAGCAGCTACTTGCCTTGGCTTTCCTGGCAGAGACTGCCTACTGCCTCTAGGATGTGCACTGTAGATGGCGGGTGGCCCTGTGGGTGGTGCCAGGGGGAGACTTCCACTCCCTGCAGAAAGCAGAGGCTCTTGGAAGCTGCAGCCTCTCACACTGACTTGCAATGTTCCTTGTGCCCCAGGTGCTGCTGTTTCTTTAAGAGGAAAAGGAAGAAGACTGCTCAGCGCCATAAGTGACCAGTGCCTCCCAGGAGTCCTCAGGTCCTGGGGACTCTGACTCGATTGCACCTGCAGCTCCTGCCATTTCTCATTGGAAAGGACTCCTCTGCAGGGGAGGGTGGAGATCCAAACCAAAAAGAAGAAAAGAGATGCCCCCAGAAGGAGCCAGTGTGGGCAGCCAGGGCCCAGTGGGTCAGTGGCTGTCCCCACCTGCCTGAGGCTCTGAGCAGGTCCCAGAGCTGCTGCTCCTCCACTGCTTGCCCTCGGGGCCACTTGGTTGACTCTCCTTCCTATTGTTTACAGTGAAGGTGTCATTCACAAAAACTCAAGGACTACTATTCTCTTCCGCCCCTTAGTCTACTCCCGGTCCTTGCCCCTCCCTCAACCTTCTCCAGCACTAAAGCTAGTGAGTTGAAGGCTTTGTCTGCCGAAGGAACTCTAGAGGCTGGGCTTGTGGCCAAGAAGGTAGGAGGAAGATGGCAGGCCTGAGCTGGAGAAGAACCTTCTCCACCTTCCAGGGATATCTGGCTCCCTCTTCCTCTGTGCCTGCCCAGCCTCCATCCTCAGCTGGCCATGGGTACAGTTTACTCCCTCCTTCCCTCTTGTGAGGTTACACTGTAGGACACAAGCTGTGAGAAATCTGCAGTCTACTGTCCCCATGTGTTGGCGTTCTTAGCTTTCTTGACAAGTGTGAACTCTATTCTCCAGTCAGTAGTAGAACAATGCAAATTGTTCTGAGCAAAGGAAAAAAACTGACTTTATTGCACTTTTAGTTTATTGGTTTTTTTGTGTTTTTGTTGGTTGTTTTTTTTTTAACAAAAAAAATGGCAGATGCATATTGTGTCTGGTTATATTGGGAGTTTTACTTTTTTTCTGTTTTGAGGGGGATGGGGCCAGCCAAGCCATTCAGAAAGAACATGGGTCCAGAGGACATCTCAATGGAAAGAGTTGGGTCAGCAGCACCCAGAAGAGAAGAAGCCAAACTCTATGTCATTCTGAGTAAACACTCAGGTTGGCAAGAAAACATACTTGAATTTTCATTCATCTTCTCAGCTACTGGAGAATGTCCTACCAGAGCCTCTTGACCTTATCAGCCTGCAGTTTGGACAACCTAACCTCTACGGCACATGGGATGAGCCAGCCAAGCCAGACTATGACCAGAAGATATTTCATCCCAGAGAAGGAGATAATTTTAAAAACAAACTGAAACATCTGTTTCCTCCACTGCCAGGGATTTCCAACTAGATAGCCATGTAACTTCCTTATCAATTTTGGGGAACAAAATTAGTGATGAAACAGCTACCACCATATTACCACTAGTGGACAAAAAGAGAGGAAAATGAATCTGCCTTCCAACTGCCAAAGGAAACTCAGGATTTGGCATCATAGGGCCAGGAAATAAAATTGGTATGTACTGTCTGCCCCAGTAGCTGAGTCAGACATTTGGGCTGGCCTGCCTTATCAGAAACCAAGCACCTGCAGATTTTCTAGCAGGTCCACAGCAGCAGGCTTAGGACTCAGTACATGGGGCTGGAGTAGCAGGAGGGGGAGATTAATTGGTGCTGGAGAATTCCAGGGGAAAGGAGACTGAAATGAAAGCTCTGAAATTAACTTCTCAATTAGACATAGACTCCTTCCAAATAAGGTGGCCTTGCATCTAGAGCGTGTTCTCCCCAGTATGCTCTCCGCCACCCCCCACATCGTGTAGTCACATGACATACTGCCATGAAGAGTCTTGGTTCCTCATTCATTGCTTTAAAAAAGTATTAATGTACAGAGTTCATCTTTTCATGCTCAGTTTTCATTTGAGTTCAGCAGCTTACCCAAACAGTGACCTCTTGTCCCAGATGTCATAGAGGAGAAGAGATTGTTTACATCAGGGAACGAGGTCTTCTGTTTGGGAGTAGAGAGCTAAGCATGGAGGACAGTGGCTGGTGACTTATTCTGGTGGTTTTGGGAACAGAAATCATTGCCCCTGACTTGAGGTGTAGGACTGTCTTTTGGACTGGAGGGTGTGGGGATACTTTCTGGTAGTTGGCATTTCCCGACCAGTCCCTTGATGAATGGAACAGAAATAGTAGTAGCATGGAACAGAGTTACTAGGCTTCCTCTGTTCCATCAGGCCTTGCCAGGAAATATCATTCCCCTGGCTTCAAACCTGCTTAGCTTATATAGAGATTGTAATTTTCCATTTCTTTAAAAGAATTCTCCCTGTATACAAAACAGTGGCTGGGAGAGACAGAACCACACCCTTTCCCCACAAGGATTTCAAATACTGGGGTTTGTTTCCTTGACATTATCTAGTGGTTAAGGTGTAATCACTGAAACTTACATAGTTTCTCAGTTGGTATTTGGGCAACTCTAACTTTCTATATAGAAACTTCCTCATACCTGTATAGAAAAAGCCTTGCCTCTTAAGGGAGGGCAAGGGGAAAGGGTGGCAGAGCCTAGAGCCTCTTGGCACTCCACACCCTACTAAGTGCCTCCCCACCCCCTGCTTCCACAAAAAAAGCAAAGGCAGTGACCAGCTTGGCTGTAGGGCAAGCCCCCTTGCAGCTGGGTTTGTGACTTTCTTGGTCTTAATTTTTTTTTAAGGCTAGCTCTTGAGGGGTTGAATCTGAGCAGTTGGGGTGGGGGGTCCTTCCTAATGCATTGTTTTCACTCTGCCCTCCACAAATCCCTTGCTAGATATTTGATTTCCATAACAAAGATGAAGGCCCCTCTGGCATGCAGGGCGATGGTGATCCAGGACCATTGGCACAGCAAGGCAGTCCCACACCCCTGAGAAATTGTGATTTTCTTTCAAAAATTTTTTAGATGAGTACCTTTTAGCCATCAGTTCTACACCCAACAGCACATTAGGGCCCCCTCCTTCGCTCTGTTGCTATAGTTGCTTAGCTGTATGCTTCAGCCAGGTCCTCGGGGTTGGGCACTCCATGCGCCCACCACCTACCCAAATCCACTTGCTCTGTAGTTGAGATTTCTTCATTTCACAGCCATGGTGCCAATTCCATTGGAATTGATGCGATTGTTTCTGAGTTAGCATTAAGTACTAACAGCATCTGTTATTACAAAATCCATCATATTATACCATTGAGAGTTCTCCTAAGCCCTGCATGCCTTCAGGCATTGCATCCCGAGCAGATTGAGGCTAGCAGGACAGGCAAAAGGGGTGCTTCCCTTGTGACCAGAGCATGACTTGTGTCTGCGAAGTCTAAGTAAGTAAGGGTTAATCACTTATTCTACACACCTTAGTGTTTCCCAGTGATCTCACTCCAGACAGCTCTGCAGGAGTGGGCAGAGTGTACCAGCAGCAGTGTGCTTTCAGGACGGCCTTCATTAACACTCTCCTGCTATTTTGGGTCTGTCTAGGAGTGAACAGGATCTAGAGAGGTACAAGTCAGGTGACTAGGTTGGGCTCCAATTAAAGCTCCATTTTACTTTGGAATGCAGGGGCAATAGGAGACAGCAGGATCCTGGGGTTTGCTGTAGAAGTGATGAATGCCTGTTAATTCTCAATGAACTCCGACTACATAGAAACAGCCCCTACCATTAGCCAGAAGAGGTGTCCACTGCCTCTAAACTTCTGTCTCTGCACTGGAAATGTACACTGGTAGTACATGTTCCGTGTCGATTCTCAGTGTTAGTAATCACTTTCAATGTTAGAAATAGGCAGTGATGGTGATGTTATGTCAGAGTGGTTACTACGGATCATAGCCTTAACTTTTTATGCAAAAGACATAACTCTGTACCCCTACCAGTGAGCATGCATTTTTCAAAAATAAGTACTTCCATGGCAGCATCTTCTCAAAAGAACTTAATCATTCTTCTGATGCAACTCTCCTCCGCCCACATGCCTCTTGTGTCCCAGTCACCTCTTCCATATTCATATTTAAGCCCGCGTTCCATTCCCAGTGAGTTGCCCTGGCGTTACCTCCAGTGTCAGAGCTACCACGGTAGGGCTAGAGTGTCTCAGCCTGGGTGGAAGCTTGCAGCGCCATAGCCAACATTGCTTTCGCCAGGTCACTGCCACCATCCCTGCCGTTATCCCAAGGTGGGCAAGTTCTAGAAACCCTTAGGGAGCCAGGATAACTAGGCACACCATCTGCACTGGCCATGTAAATAACAGGCACTTGTCTCTGGGGTTCTTGCTTTTGCCGACACCAGGGCTCCAGGCAAGTCCCTTCTAGAGGTTGATGGACAGTGATTCTCAGTCTTCCCCATAGTGGATTGGTAGGAATCAAAATGGGATTTCTATGGTTTTGTTTTCTTGTGGGACTTTTTTATTTTTTTGGTAGGGGTGTTGTATATGAATATGAGGAAACCTTGGCCCTTCTGAGGGCTTGCAGAGTTTTGAGCAATTTTTTAGCCACAAATCTTGGAAGTCTCATCAATCAAGCGGTCTTAACATGTTTTCCCCTAACTCCTTTTGCAGGTGACTAAGTGAAAAAGAGTAGGTTTCTTCATTGTATTCAAAATAGTAAGTAGATTCCCTGGATATAGACAGTAGTAGTTGACGTATTTCCTCAAAAAGCAACCAGGAAGTCCACTCCAGTATTTGTAGATCAGCTTACAAAGGAGAAAATGAATGTGTACTCCATATATTTCTAGTGTGATTACCAAACTTGATGTTATTCAGAAACCACAGTTTGGTGGACAATTTATTTTATTTCCTTCTTTACTTCTCACAGTCATCTTTCCAGTGCCATCACCACCTTCAAAGTCTCAGCTCAGAGGGCTATTCGTGGTAGTAAAGGGGGGTGCAATGCAGACATCCCAGTAACACACACGAGAGGACAGCTGTCCTGAGTGCCCCTTCCCCACACACCCCTCTTTCAGGGCAGCTGAGACCTTTTCAGTGTTCCTCTTCACGAGTTCCAGACCAAATCCCAGGCCAGCCCTTGTGCCGAAAGCTTTTTTAAGAGGCTTATCAATTCGTTAGGAATGTCTCAGGAAAGATGAGCCATTTCTTTGGGGGAAATATATTTACGGATGGTTGTGTGTGGTTGCATTTGTATGCTTGTGTCTGTGTGCTCATCTGTGTGTATTTCACTTCCATAAAAACTCAGCCCAGGCTACAGGGATCATGTGTTCCTGAATATTCTAGGAAGTAAACAAGTAACAAGTGAGCTTCTCAAATTAGTGTCACAGCAAGTTGGTTCTGGGAATGAGTCCCATTTATCAAGCAGAAGAATAAATAATAAACAGCAGAAAAGATAGAGATAGAAACCAAAAATAGAAGTGTGTTCCCCCCAATGGAAAATAATGTTGATTCATCAATGCCCATTGGATATATTACATGCTCTAATTTATTATATTATTGTTTGTTTCACTCATCTTTGCCCATTGTACTTTTAAAAAGATATTGGGATGTTGATTGCAATTTTTTGAGACTAGATAATGTATAAATCAGTTGTAGAAATCAGTTTTAATTGATGTGTGGATGTGTCTAATCATTGTTAAATGCCTTTTTTCTTTTTCTTTTTTTTTTTTTTACCTGTTGTTTTAGATGTGTAATGTTTCATAAACCCTGGCACTGGTCACAAAGCTCAGCTGTGAAAATGAAACTTGTAGTATTTTTAAACATGAATGTCAATTTCAAGTGTATTTGAAATTATTCCTCCAGGAGAGAAATTTGTAACATCATTAGGAAAAATTCCTCTGCAGAGGAACTACCCTTCTTTGGAGAAAATGGGAAAATGGGTCTTGATAAGTTATCTCAGAGTAGCCCATTTCCTAGGGCACCATGGAAAACACAAATGTGATCTTTAAGTATACCTCCTCCCCAGTTTGGGGAGGAAAGGACTCAGTTTGCACCCTTTTTGTATGTAAAATAAAATGTCTTACCTTTCTTGGCTAATTTTGTTTGGTTGGTTGATTTGTCTAGTTTTTATCTCCCCTGGCTCACTTGTAACTTAAGAGTCTGGCTACGCCTAACTTTGATAGGATTCAAGCCTCCAGTGAATGAAAATAATGTCTGATACTTTGACAGTCTTCATTCATTTGGGCTAAACATTGCCTTCTCTTCTGGGTCACTTTAAAAATGAATATGCCTGCCCTAGATGGTTTGGCTCAGTGGATAGAGGGTCGGCCTGTGGACTGAAGGGTCCCAGGTTCAATTTCCAGTCAAGAGCACATGTCTGGGGTTTCGGGCTCCATCCCCAGTAGAGGGTGTGCAGGAGGCAGCCGATGGATGTGATATATTGTTGTTTCCCTTTCCCTCTCCCTTCCTCTCTAAAAATCAATTAAAAATCTAAAATATAAAAATAATCCTGGCAGAATTTGGACATTCACCATTGACATACTAGTTCCAATATTCCTGTGGTTCTTAGGTGGTGGAACACCAGGAAGTTAGGATCTGCTCTCTGGAACAGCTTTGAATAGAGCTTTATAATTCTGCTCCACTAATGAGGAACATCTATACAGACAGAAGGTATAACTGGGATATGCAATATAAACTCACAAGGGCATATATTGGCCACAAAAACAACTGCCAATCTGGGCATGATTGGTTGCAATTTTTCTGTTGTTTTTTTCTTTCTTTTCACTATTCAATTACTATGTAAGGATTTTTGTTTTCTTTCCACTGGCAGGCAAGTAAAAACAGAAAAAAAATTTAAGATCTTTATGAGCAAAAAACTTCGCATTGAGACTATTACATCCACCAAGCTTATTTTTTTCTTTCAAAAGTGGTGGGAAAGGTGGGGGGAGAAGGCTGTTTTTATGCCATTTTAGCATTTCTCTCCATGTTGAGAAGGCTACTTAGAAAATATAGTTTGGTGAACATTTTTCTCAGTGGCTTCGGTAGCAGCGTAAGATCTATGAGTATGGAAAATTAATTCCCACAGAATTAAAGGGAAGGGAGTTTAGAAGATCATCTTGGTCAGTGCAATGATTTTATCTAGAAGAACCTCCACCTGATTGAGGTGGTCTGGATTAAGGTGTGAAGATTAGAAAATAGCAAATGTTATTTGTGTTTATGTGAGATTTGTCTGTTGAAGCTCTGCAGCCAGTGTAAGGAAGGACAAGTTAAACTTATGCCAGCGGCCATGCATAACCTGAAACTGAGGTCAGCACCTCATAGAGACCCAACTGCAGAGTTTAGCTATGGAAACAGTCATGCCTACCTACAATCTGGGCTGTGAAGACCAGGAATTTTTATAATTAATCTTTGAAAATTAGTTTTAAAGATGTTTAATAATATCATAGGTGCACATTTTGGAAAGATGTACTTTGGTGTGTAAAATTTATGGTACTGAAGTACGTATGTTGTAGACTGAACACCAAGTGAGTGTGAATACCTGAACTAGGGATGGGAAGGCATCCAACAACCATCCCTGAGGTTTCTGAAGGTTTCTCAAAGAGGGAGACTAAAACTCAGGCCTTGGCATGTATATTTCCCAGCTGGGTGCTAATGTGACACTATCTCAACCATTATTTGTTGAGCACAGCCCTGAAGCAGGTTTGGGGGAGCTACAGTACAAACAAAATAAGTGCAACATAATCGTTGCTCACAAAATAAATGTAGTTACTTGGGAAAATAGGTAAAGAAAGTTAGTTGAGCCCTAGCTGGTTTGGCTCAGTGGACAGAGCATGGGCCTGCAGACTGAAAGTTCCCGGGTTCAATTCCAGTCAAGGGCACATGCCTGGGTTGCAGGCTCCATCTCCAGTGGGGGGCGTGCAGAAGGCAGCCAATCATTGATTCTCATCATTGATGTTCCTATCTTTCCCTCCCTTCCTCTCTGAAATCTATAAAAATATATTTTTAAGAAAAAAAAGCTGAAAACCACACTAGATCCATGTATTCCTCTCACAGTGATGTTTCTCTCTCTTTAAAAATCAATTTAAAATCTTTTTTAAAAAGCCCTAGGCCAAAATCGGTTTGGCTCGGTGGATAGAGCGTCGGCCTGCGGACTGAAAGGTCCCCGGTTCCGTTCCTGTCAAGGGCATGTACCTGGGTTTCGGGCACATCCCCAGTAGGGGGTGTGCAGGAGGCAGCTGATTGATGTTTCTCTCTCATCGATGTTTCTAACTATCTCTCTCCCTTCCTCTCTGTAAAAAATCAATAAAATATATTAAAAAAAAAAAGCCCTAGTTAGTTTGCTCAGTGGTTAGAGACTCGGCTTTGCAGGCTGAAGGACCCCGGGTTCAATTCCGGTCAAGGACACGTACCTCGGTTGCAGGTTCAATCCCCGGCCCCACTCGTGGGCAACCAGTGGTTGTGTGTGTGTCTCATTTCGATGTTTCTCTCTCTCCCGCATGCCCTCCTCTCTTTATAAAAATCAATGGAAAGAATATCCTCGAATACGGATTAACATAAAAAAGAAAAGAAAACACAGTGTATGTGACAGAGTGCGCATTGACTCATACAGCAACAAGCACAGTAAGATTAGAAGAGAAAAAAGTGAGTAGTAAAGTGACAGGATAAAGTCAAAAGTGGGTTTTGAAGCAAGTTTTGCAAGGAGCTGTGGAAGTCATACTCTGGGTACGCGCAAACGTGGAAACTACCACACCCTAACCCAATTTTGCGGTTGACTGGCCCAATACGGACAATTGTGAGCGCCTCCGGCCCCTGTCCACTCACTTCCTAACAAAGTATCCACGCCCACCCCGAAGACTTCCACTTCCGCAAAGTCAGAGCGGCCCGGCCGCGTGACATGCCGCTCTGCATGCTGGGTTTTGTAGTTTCTTCAGAAACCCAATCCCCGCGCTCTTTGAGGGGGCAACGCCTTCTGCGGCTCCTTTTTCTGTAGGTGGGCATGAGAGGGCTGGGGAGCCAATGAGGCCGCAGTAACGTGGCAGCCACCCACGAGCCCGCGTCTTCGCCCGCCCCACCGGGAGCCGGGCCCCGCCCCCAGGGGGAGCTACTATCAGGCGCCGATCCGGAGGGGGGAAATGAAGCCCTCCTCCTCCTAGGAGGCCTGCAGAGGCCCCGGCCTCCCCCGCGGCCGCGCTCGGTGGAGGCGCCGGGGCCCACGCCGCCCGATCCCTCACCTGCTTCCGGCCCTCGGCTGCCCGGCCGTGCTCCCTTCTCCCCGTGGATGCTACGCCTCTCGGAGCGGAACATGAAGCTTCTCTTCGTCGCCGCCCTGATCGTGGGCTCCGTCGTCTTCCTTCTGTTGCCGGGTCCTTCCACGGCCGATGAGAAGAAGAAGGGGCCCAAAGTCACCGTCAAGGTCCGGCTTCCCTTACCAAGCCCTGCCCGGCGGGGCCCGCCCTCCGCCGCCTGGGGTCGGCCTGGGCATCCTGGGCTCAGGCTCAGCGCCTGGTCCCCCGGCTGTGGCCTGGTGACGCCTGGATGGTCCTCCCGCATTCAGACCAGAGACAGACCCGACCCTCCCCCACCCCCTGGCCTGACCCAGGCGTTGGCCCGGGGGTGCCCATCTGGGGCCGCACCCGCAGCCCCTGAGAAGTCCGTTTGCAAATACCCCGCGGTGCTGGCGAAGTGGTGAGAGATCACGGCTGTCAAATCGTGAATCCTTTCTCTGTTTAGGTCAAATTTTAACCAATTACAAAGCACAGCAGTATAGTTTAAACTCACGTGTTGCTTTTTTTTTTTTTTTTTATCGCTGTTGTTTTGTATTTTGTTTTCTGATGTTACTAGAGCCTGGGAAGATTGTTACCCTGTAGTCTAAGGAAAGTGTAAACGGGTTTCCTGGGAAATGCGCCTGGAATTTTCATTAGATTCTCATGGGGTTTTGTCACCACCAAAAGCAGATGCAGAAACACTGCTTTAAAACAAGGCTGTTTTCTCTGCCATCCCCAGGGTAGCTTCTCGGGCCCTTCCTTCCCTAACAAGGCCCCTTTAAACAGGCTAAATGCAAAAGGCTCTTTTCCCCCAGGTGTACTTCGACCTGCGGATTGGCGATGAAGACATCGGCCGGGTGGTCATAGGTCTCTTTGGAAAGACTGTTCCAAAAACAGTGGATAATTTCGTGGCCTTAGCTACGGGAGAGGTAAGTGGCTACAGCAGAGGGAGTCAGATTCAGACCGACTGAAGTTGGCAAGTAACGCTGGCAGCAAACAGCGCAGAGCGTGGCTCTCAGTACCAACTAACTGTTGCCGTGTTGGCAAGGGGAGCCCAGTATTATGTCTTGAGTTTTTAAAAATGAGTCCAGAAATCTGGGTTTTTCTTTTTAAAATTTATTTTATTTTTCAGTACATTTTTATTGATTTCAGAGAGGAGAGGGAGAGAGAGAAACATCAATGATGAGAGAGCATCGTTGATCGCCTGCCTCCTACATGCCCCCTACTGGGCATCAAGTCCACAACCCAGGCATGTGCCCTGATTGGGAATCCAACCGTGATCTGGTTCGCACGCAGGTCGATGCTCAAACTCAGAGCCACACCCGCTGGGCATGGGTTTTTCTTTTTGAGAAAATTTCTCAGTCATTGCGATAACCAAAGAAGGGGTGTCTGTGGAAACTATAGTTTGTGGCCGCAGCACCAAGCTTTCTCTTAAGAGTAGGGGCCCAGAGTTTCCCAGGTTTTAAGAAAACCAGAGTGCCCCATTTAAGAAAGTTTATATTCCAACTTTTCATTGGGTCAGCAGGTAACCTTTTCTGGGGGTCCGTTTTCTTGCATCTGTTCTTATAATTAGGAAAAAACAAGAAGGAGATGGCAGAGGCATTGTGTGAAGCAGAACTACATGAAGCCTGGGAAAGGTGTGAGGCAGAAGAGTGCAGGCTGGCCCCTCCTGGCTCTGTGTGCTCCGAGCCTGCGTGTGGTCTCTGCTGGCTCCGCAGCACGTTGAACCATGACTGGCCAGCAGTGATGTCTCTTCTATGAGCAGGAGTCGTTGTGGGCTGGGTTCCTGCAGGGTCTGTTTCATGTCTGCCTGGTGCCTCGTGCCACCTCCTC